CGCTCCATCGGTTTTCATTGGTAATCCGGGCTGACTTTCGAGTAATCGATGGTGAGAGTACCGCAAAGAAGACGTTGAATCGTCATAGTATGATTTGGGAAGAGGTGAACTGGCAGAACGAAAGGAGACTTTCTTTTTTCGTATGCCGTAACGTCGGCAGTTTCCGTGGTGGAGAGTCTATCACGATAGCTTCCACGGTTGATGTGGTTGAAACCCCAGAGAGACGCCAAATGTGGATACGTTCGCTCATATCCGGCTGTTCCTGTTCCGCGGCCCATCCTATATCCTCCGCAAACCCCTCAACGGACGAGGTATGGGGAGTATTTTGAGAATCTTGCACACGCTGTTTTAAGCTCCTTTCCCGGTTCGACGATGATTTAGAAATGTGATGCGAATCAGAAGGGCTACTGCTGACCTGGGAGAATGGATCGTGCTCCCCAAGAATTGGCCGACGCCTGTGTTTCCTTGTTTGGAGATTTGTAGTAACGATTTCCTGTGGCTTAGCCCGCTGGCCATCGAAAGAATCAAACATGGCTGCGTCCGTCTGGCTAACATTCATTCCCTCTGCAACGACGCCGTCCCCGGGTGGATCTGCATTTTTCGAGATCTCTGGCTCCCAAGATGACGTATTTGTTCGTAGAGGGTGAGGCAGCTTGTGTTTGGCTGGGCGCAATAGTGGTGTCGCGGGCACATTTCTCCTTTCTAGCTCTTCTTCCTCTGATGACAAAGCTTCTCGGGCAGTTGTAAACGATTCAGCCCTCGAGGACATGGACGGGTGTATTGGAGTAAGACCTTCCCTCTTTTTAAATTGAGAGAAAGCTCGTGGAGGCGTAATGTCGGGTGTCGGGGGGCTCAGATGGTGAGTTGGCGTACCAGTTCCTGTCGTGCCTGGAATAAGCTCATGGGAAATCTCTGGTGAAATACCATTGCTTGATTTCTCGCAGGCTCCTGATCCTAGGCCAGGGGGTGTCAGCGGGAGCGCTGGCGCGGTAGGATAAGCGTATCCGTTCGAGGGAGGCGTGACATCTGGTCTCGGACTGGACGATGGAGGTATTGATGTCGACTCCTGCGTTGGTAATATATCGCGTTTTCGCGGGAGGGGTCTATGGGCCTTCAGACCTGGGTGATCTGCTCGCGGCGTTATTGGGCTCGGGCTCGGCTCCGAAGTATTCACTGACGGCATAGTGATGGAGATCAATGAGGCGGGCTTGGTTTAGATTCGTAATAATGGAGTGGTCTTTCAAGGACAACGGTGCCGGTTAAGAAATTTGATTGCATACTTTGAAAACTCCACCGTTCTTAAGGGGAGCTCATAGCACTTGACGCCCATGTGCTTTCACGTCATCGCAAGCAGCGGCCGCATTACGAAGAATGATTCCAGATACTTCCAGCGCTGACGGAACTCCAGTCCAATTATTTCCCACAACGCTGGTTCGCTGATAGATGGTATTAAAAGGAATGTGAATTTCACGCCATAGGCGAACAAAGGACCCGTTGGCGATCAAGAACGGGCTATCTATCTTCCTCTGTGGTCACCGCGGTCTAATTTCGAGCCTTGCTTGCACTGTGATGGAAATGTGACGTCTGATGGGCCGGAACCGAGGGGCGAGGCACGATGGGCTGTGGTGTATTGGGTTGGAAACACTCGAAATAATCGATAAAATAAGGGGCGTCGACCTGCTTTGTGTCTGTGTCTATGTCTATTGGGTGGCGATCTAAGCTTGCAACATAAAGCAACGGATATCAGGAACAGACAAGTGTGGATGATATGAATTAATTACGAAACAGCATATGAGGTGTCTTTGCACCAAGCAGCTGTGATTGAATATTAAAATAAGAGTCTGGAAGAGGCGCTAAATAATTGAAACACGGAAATTCTAGCAAGTGAAGAACGAGTGCCAGCGCCTTCAGAGCAGTTGACAGCGCTCCAGAAGTGTGACGAGCGTGAGTTGCAAAGGGCAAATAGGAAGAGGAAGAGGGGAGTGGCACAGTGGTCGACGATGAAGCCGGTGCAGCTTGCAGACGCACGACGGCGCAGAGATGGCGACCCCTGCCGAAGACGAGGAAGAAAGAAAAATATGCCAGTCACCATCTCCTTGAACAACCAACAGGTTTGGAGATAACAAAGCATGCGAGGCCGAGAGCCAAGCAGGAAAACACCAAATGCAAACAGCCAATGCAGCAAGCACTGTGAGTAAGAGAATAATATATCCCCATCAAGACTCGTATATTTCGGCTTTCGACATTCATTGTTCATTCAGTGACTTAGTCTTGTTCTCGAAGCTTTTGATCTTACCTGCCAAACAGCCCCCTGCAAGTGGCCCCTCTAACGTGTCTCATGATTCCCACCAACCATTGATGCAAGGCCCCCCAACAAGGCCATATCCAGCAGTTGATTGTCACCTTCAAAACTCAGCCGAATCCGTGGTAAAGCTGCATCTTCTGAAATCTGCCCTGTCTATATTTAAGCTGAGGCTCGGGCTGCGTTCTCATCGGAAACTGGAAACCGTGGAGTTCGATACGGTTGCCTCATAGCAGCATCGATTGCAGCATCGACTGCGGCGTGAAGCCGGAAATATATACGTCAACCGTCCGCCATACTGGTTACAATCTGATGCCCCATACAGCATCATCTGCTCAATTACAGGTTCTTATGGTTAAGATGTGGGTATGCTGCAACTCCCAACCCTGTCGGCGTGGATAATCGACCAGAGCTCTCGCACATCATTTATTATTCAAAAACTATATATTTGTAACTTCTGCTGGCTTTGTCACAATAGGTCTCTGACCCCTTGCTTAAAGTTTACGTGGGTTGGAACTCTGTGAAACACTTGTCTTTTTCCCCTTGTTTTGTATTTCCCCAAATGGCTCTCGACTTTGGTATCTTCATACTGATAATTTCTGCTTTAGTTTTAGCTGCTTCTTGTCCTCATTGGAGTAAATAACCCTCTCCAATCTGCAACAGTGGGCCATTATTCTCGCAAGAACCTGTATGGTTCAGGCTTTATCTTGACCTAAACCCTTACATAGCTACATAACTGGCCCTATCAGCCAGTCTTTGTTTTCGGATTTTCAGGAAGCTTGAACTGCCATCCTCCACTCGAACCCACTCATGCACGGAACACGCCATGCAGGTCAGCAGGGAAGACATGACTTTAACACTGTCTAGTGCTTCCAATTTCCGATTTGTGTGCAAGAAAACAGGAAGTTCAACGTATGATATTGCCTACTCCCTACTCCAATCGTTCCAAGTTGATGCTTGAAGCAAGGTCTCTGGGAATGTGATATTTCTCTCAGAGTTTTACACCCAATGCATCTATTTCAGTGAAATCATCGGCCATTACACAAACTTGAGTGAAGAAGGCATTTAAGCAGGTCAGGCCTTGACTTTAAGATGCATTATATTCGGGGCTGATAAAGTGAACAACACCAGTAACTAGAATATATATATTCCTTTGATCATAATTTCCCGGATAGTGGCTATAATTACCAACCTCCCATCGGTGGCGTTCCCACACAGGCAGTCGTTTTGCCTGATACAGCTGTAAAGACTAACCAACCGCCAATGGTTGGAGACGTCCATTTGATTTCAAAGAATTGCGCGTCCCAAAGTCGGCAGATTACTCCCTGCGAGCCAAGGTATTCAATTCCCAAGAGATTGGTTCAAAAAACAGGCGGGGCTGCTCTTCAAGCAAAGTGAATAACTCAAGGGTGCCATCTTGGCAAGCCGATAAATCAAGGGGAAGGTAAAATCGACGTTAACCACACCACAACATCACCAACAACTCTGTAATATGACCAGTTGAATAGGAACCATCACAAGTGCTCGCCGTGAATCAGCAATGACCATTTTGGTGTATCTGTCCTTCCCACTTGATTGACCTGTATGTACACTGCTAGGCATCCGTTGCGGTTAAGGCTTGCAGACGGTGACTGTGGACACATGTCTCGTAACCAAGAGGCGCTCAGTATGCAATCCACTGGAACCCTCTGGCGATTCGAAGCTGTTGCTAACAAATACTAGTAGTTGCTAGAGTCGCGCGCACCAACACAGCATATGCCTCGCTTTGGGCTTCATGTACCGAACTATGCATGCGATATTCTGGTTTGGATACCTAAAGACATAAACAGTTATGCCATGACCCCGCTCCACGAAGCCTGAAGACCTGATTCCTGTCAGTGGTCTACTAGCCTTATTTTTGTTTTTCCAAGTAATGTGCGAAGGAGTGGCTTTGTTGCAACTTTCAACAGCCTCCTTTTATAAATGCGATTGTGCTGATACTCAACACTGTGCTTAAACTTGCTGATACTATCGATCGATAATAGCCAAGGTATATTTACAACGATAGCCGCTATAGCAGTCAGTCGAAATTGGTGAATGTTTGCGCTTGACGAGGAAATCCGCCAGGCGAAATCCGCTTCTAGAGTTCCGATCGGACTCAATGAAGTCGAAATGAATGGCAATAGAGTTATCTATCCAATCTAAATACGTAGGGTAATAATATTCAACCCCTTATCATAACGTATATATGGCAAGGTTCTCATCTGTCTACAATTCAACCACCGGTCTAAAACATCATTGCAGAGACCACCACAGTGAGAATAGCCAACAATCCTACTTGCCATCCGGTACCCTTCACAAACAAACTCGACCCAGACGAAGGTGGCGATTTGTGGCGGCCGCCATGCCCAATCACCTCGGGGAACAGCCGTTTTGTATTCTGATCGACAAGAAGGAAGTGTTTGAGCACCGCCTTGCCCTTCAATATAGACTCAATCTGCTCCTCTGTGCAAACACTAGGGTCAAGCGCATAGCAGAACTTAGGATATTGCGGTGGTGGATCCTGTTTGAAGCCGAGCGTGTCAGGCGGACCCGACGAGCTATAATATTTCCCATCGCCGTCGGGCAACGGCACGCCGGTGTCAATTTCACCTTTGGCAATGTCTTTGTTGAATAGCACGCGGTTGAAAATCATCAATGAACCTTCGGGGTGGTAGGACGGAACCTGATGGCCGGCCTGGTGGACACGAGAGAATGAGAGGTTGCCATATTGCCTTACCTGACCGACGTTAAATGTGTCGTTGACGCGGATGTCGGCGTAGCCGGCTGCCCTGAAATTTTCTGAGTCGACATAGTCGATCGCGAGACTTACCGCCTCGCCGCCCATCCAGTTGCAGGCGAAGTCGCGATCTCCATAAACGAGAGCAACCTTGATGTTGTTCTCAAGTAGGAAAGCGAGATCCTCAATCCAACCTGGACGCGGGTAGTCGCCGATGCTTCGGAAGGCATTGGATACGGCGGCGTTGGACAGAGTCCAGTTGAGTGGTACTCCGAGTGCGGCTTGGACGTGTGCCTGGTTCAGCCCACCCTGGTAAAATGGGGTAGGGAATGCGTCTGGCTCGAGCTGTGAAATATCGTAGTAATTGCGACCTGAGTATCTAAGATATGGCCCGCGGACTTCGCTATAGCAGTAGTTCTCGGCCTTGCTGCAGACATCGTTGACGGTGTCGTTGATGCCGGTGTTGTCCGGGTCCCAGACAGCGGAAATAGCGCGGCAGTCATCGACCATATCACGGCAGCCACCGGGTTTAACGAGGGAGTCGACCATATAATTGTAAATCGTTTCGTTGACCGATTCGATGCCGTATGTGTTCTTGAATGCAAACTCTGGGTATGAGGGCCATTGTACCCGGCGGTCGAGGCAGCCGTTAATGATCATCAGAGTGTCGAGGTTCAATACTTTCATATCGCCATCATTATCTTTCCAAGTACCATTTTCGATCTTCTGGTTCTGCTCCTCGAAAAACGAGAAAAATGCCGGGCCGTAGCGACCACCATAAGACTCAGTGGCAAGACTGATTCGAGAGTCCCCTGGGTGGTAGCCTGGGAATTCCTGGAACCATACCTGAGCAAAGTGCCACAGGGCAATCGCGGCATTAACGACTACCCAGCGCAGTGTTTTTTTGCTGCTTACTCGGGTACGTCCCTACCAGAAACGTAGCATTCTGCTGTGGAATTGGATCATCAGGACCCAACTTGGTGAGCTCACCTGTGATCAGGTTTTTTGTGTAGTTGGCAAGGGTATCGTATGATAAGCCTACTTGGACCGGTTGATCCAAGTAGAGCATATTAACTTATTTGGCAGAATATTAGTAGAAAACTTCTCAAAAGCAACGGAGAGTTTAAGCCGCACCCTCATTGTTCCATGAATATTGGTTCAACGTCGTTGAGTTTGAATCGGGATTGATGAAGCAAGGACCGTTTTCAACAAGCAGGCCCATCTGTTTCTCAAAGTCAGTAAGAGTGGATACCTGTGTCTACTTCTTTTATTCGCCTTGAATTTTTTTTTTTAAGAATTTGGGGGGTCTTTGCGCTTAACGTCATTATTTAGATCATCGGACAAGAAAGAAAGGAAAATTACACTGAGGGTGTCACCATTGAAGAACTTCCAGGTCCGCTGTTTATTCAAATTGACAGAGGAGCATTTTCCGGATCCTTTCTGAATTCAAAAAACCAGAAAAATGTGTTGATGGGATAGTTCTGATTATCATCAAGATCCTCCAGTGTACTAGGGGGTAAATGAATGTATGCAGAGTATGATTTCACTTTTAAAATTGTCTCACAAAATTCTGACTGCTATTGATATGAGCTAGAAATGAGTCAAGAAAAGAAATATGCTTGCTCATCTCTTTGTAAATGATTTTGACATCATCAACAAATTTAGATTTCAAAACTTTAACTCTATTCAATTTAAAAAGAAATTGTGTTAGAGTTGAAATTCCAGCTACTAAGAAGTACAATATTGATTTGATGAAATATAATATAATTTAATTGAAAATCAGAAATATTTTCTGACATTCATCAGAAGAAAATATATATATTAAAAAAAATATTTCAATTATCATCAATGTCAACATTTAAAAATGAGTGAGTTTTGCTTCTATATTATATATATATGATGTGTTAATCCGTAATAAACAGTTTAAAATCAACACTTTTTTTCAGACTAACAGCTGTACAAATATTTATCTAAAAATTTTATTATATATAAAATTAAATAAATTAAATCAAATTAAATGAAATTAAATTTATTTATTCTTCTATTCTTCACTTTTTCAGCATCTGTAAAGATTCAGTTTATGATAATAATATTGATGTTTAAAAGATTCTCTGATGACAGTGATGATGATGATGATGATAATGATGATAATAATATATTTTTAATAATCAATTTCATTATAATGATTTTTAAAGAAGATTCTTTGATAGTTAATTCTTCAGAAAGTTTTTCAATAAATGAAGAAATAATAACAATGATTTATATAATCAATTTCATTTCATTTTTTTTTATTTCATATTTTCTTGATGAATTTTCAGCTGATTTTTATAAGGATTTTTCTATTTTTCTATTTAAATTTTCATTCATTCTCTTCAGATATCAAAATAAAAAAGAAAGGAAAATTACACTGAGAATGTTATTATTAAAAAACTTTCAGATTCATTATTTATTCAAATTGATAGAGAAATATTTTTCAATTTTTTTTTTGAATTTAAAAAATTAAAAAAATATATTAATAAGACAATTTTAATTATCATCAAAATTTTTCAATATATCAAAAAATAAATGAATGTATTTAAAATATGATTTCATTTTCAAAATTGTTTTATAAAGTTTTGACTATCATTGATATGAGTTAAGAAACAGATCAAGAATAGAAATATATTTACTCATTTTTTTATAAATGATTTTAACATTATCAACAAATTTAGATTTCAAAATTTAGATTTCATTTAATTTAGAGTGAAATTGTGTTAAAGTTGAGATTTTAGCTGTTAAAAGACACAATATCAATTTAATAAAATATGATATAATTTAATTAAAGACTGAAAATACTTTCTGACATTCATCAGAAGAAGGTATATGTCTTGAGAAAAACATTTCAATTACCATCAACATTGACATTTAAAGGCAAATGAATATCAGTTATATGCTATATATATACAATGCATTAATCTCTAATAAACAATCTAGAATCAACACCTCCTCTCATATTTATTTAAAAATTTTATTATATATAAAATCAAACAAATCAAAACAAATCAAATGAAATCAAATCTATTTATCTTTCTATTCTTCACTCTTTCATCTGTGAGGCTTTGATTTGTGATAGTAATATCAATGTTCAAAAGATTCTCTGATGGCAGTGGTGGTGGTGGTAGTGGGTGGTGGTGGTGGTGATATATTCTTAATGACCAATTTCATCATGGTGGTTCTTAAAAGAAGGTTCTTTGATGGTTGGTTCTTCAGGGGGTTCTTCAGTAGATGAAGGAGTAGTGACAGTGGCTTGTATAGCCAGTTTCATCTCATCCTCCTCTTGTTTCATATTCTCTTGATGAGTTTTCAGCTGATTTTTGTAAGGATTTTCCCATCCTTCTGTCCAAATATTCATTCATTCTCTTCAGACATTCATCTTGCTTTTTCAAATATTCCATCATCATCTGTATCAAGGTATCGGTCATCGTTGTTGGGCCCGGTAGCCCAAGGGTAGGTTCGTATTCATCATTTGCTAGCTGGGGTATTCATCCCCATGGTAGCTCGAGTTCTAGGAGGCATTCTTCCCCAGCGTAGCAGCTCGCGAGACATTAGATGGGCAGTGGAAGGTTTAATAAAAAAACAAGCAATCCGGGCCATAACCTGTGGGACGTCTAAGTGGTTGTATTAGCATATATGTGCGGTGCGCTAGTCCGTGATAGGCCTAGGGCCAACATATGCCTCCAACAACGTTGCCATGTTACTTGCAAACATTCGCCAGTTAGATCAAGCGGGGTCCAACTACAGATCTGAGGGCATTTGCTGATCGCTCATAACGACCTTGATTCCTGCGGTAAGGCACACTGCATCTTTGGATCTTGGGCGAATAGCCAGTGGTCATCTCTTCCAAAAGGATGTGTAGTTGACCGAATCTCAAGGAGTAAGCGAGCAATGTTTCCCCGCCCCCACCCCTCACCGTTCAAGGGGTTCTGACATAGCTTCCCCACACGGGTTGCAGGGGCCGAAAATGAGTGTACGCCGATGTCACCCAATGGTTGTTCGAACCCCGATCTGCCGAATTTCGGAATCACAAACAACATCATTCCCTCGTTTATCGTTTATCGGCGGGATATCAAGCGTTTTGTTGGACCCTTGGAGGCTGGTGATCTATCAATACCAGGAGTCTCCAGTCGCGCTACTACGCTACTCGCCCGCTAACATTAGTAGTGCGAGTAATTGAGATTTCGTTCTATGTGAAGAAAGCTAACCGTGCCAAGCGAACTCACTACCATTATGAAAGAAGAGATATAAGATTTTTAAATTAGAAAAACAGAGTTATTTTTGAATCTTTTTCATATTTCATAATAATCTTCATATAAATATGATGTTCTGTACTCCAGAATTAATCAAGACTGAATCCCTTGTGATGGAGTTGATTGAACAGCTGCTAGTATCCTTGCAGAGCACTGAGCAGCAGAGCTTCAAACATCAGAGCATCAAGCAGCAGAGCTTTGAACAGCAGAGCACTGAGCAGTAAATCTTTAAACAGTAGAGCACTGAGCAGCATCTGAAGTTGAATAACAGCAAAGAAGTAGCTGACTATTCAATTTATATGAACAACTACTTCATATCTGTTGCTCTATTTCATTATCTTCAAAAGCATGGAATTGAAGTATGTGGAATCATTTATTCTGCTAATCTGTTGTAAGGGGCGTACTTCGATTAACGGCTAGCACTATCCTATATACAGTTTACGAATTGATTAAAGAAATAAAGAAAGAGAGAGAAGATCAGAAGGAAAGGTCGTACGAAGGGGGTTCTTATAGAGAAAGGAACGGAACGGAAGAATATCGGAGGTCGCGCTGTAGTGGGGCGCGGAGCGGAAGAACGTTAGGGGTTACGCGGAAGAATCTTTAGAAACTACGCCCGCGCGGAGCGGAATCGTGAGGAGAGGAGTTGGTTGCGCAAGCTAACTACTACTAACGGGTGTTAACCCGTCACACAGAGGTGAGGGATAGAGCAGATCAAACTGTAAGCAGTGAGGCTGAAATTAACTGTTTATATCACAAGAGGTCTTTAAGACTCTACGAGGATTAAGCTATAGGATGTAATATGATAATATATCGGAGGGAATTCGGATTGAATAGTTAGATATCGAGGTCGTAGAACGTAGGGGTCAGATTATAACAGAATGATCCGCTGGCCCCTAGAAGGTTGGGCCAGCTGCTAGGCTATATACACACAGTATTGTAGGCAGATCGAACTTGCTATGATGTAGATGGTGTAGTATGATGCAAGTGACATGATAATGTCTTGATTTCAAACCTGATATGACATTGGTGATGCTATGTTCGGCGATGTCATATCTTTAGGGTAATTACCACTTCCGGCCCTAGCACTGATATCTTAGTGCGGGTTTCTTACAGTCACCTCCTCAAACTTATACCTGATGTCAGTATAAAAGAAAGAGAGAAGAAGGGAATAAAGAAAAAAACTTCAAGATTAAGATATGATTGTACAGCATGTAGCAATATTGCTCTCTGCTTGAAAAGAGGATGTTGGAAGGAGTTCCATTCTAAGGGCGTGTTCGGTTGTCCTGTTTAACCTCGTGTAAGGTCTTATAAGAGACCCACTTCTCTGGTCTGTATGCTCTTACACACTCAAATACACTCTTACACAGCTTTACCTACTCAAAAACATCTAGTATTTTCTATATTCCCCACTTACACAGGATTAGACTTCAACCAGCTATTTAGACTGAAAAGTGGAGAATTCTAACTGAAATAGGCTAGATAGAGGGTGTATAAGGTCATGTAAGCTACACACATCTAAGACCTTCTCATGAGATGGTTTTATCTTGTGTAAGGTTGTGTAAGTGGGGGGACACTCTCTATAATCAGGGCCCTAGATGTTTAGTAAGATATTTAGTAAGCCTCTGAATATGACACCAGCAGTATGCTAAAATGGTAATAATGGTATTAATATCCACTTTTTGCGTGCAGGTTTTGTGAGATTGTACGTGCAACCGAACACGCCCTAATAATATTAATTAGAGCTAGTTAGATCAAATAGATTACATAAATTACACTAAAACACATCAATACAGTCAATTTCTCATATTATCCAGTAGTTTTCATGTATTTAATACACTAATGTACACACTAAAAATACACTAATTGTGTCCTAGCGGCCAGACGAGGGGATATTCAAATATTTTCTTTGCAGTGTGGCGCACTCACTAATGGTAGTGAGTTCGCTTGGCATCAAAACTCCAACGTATCTTCATTTGCACGATCCGTCCTCCACATTCACAGCGCCAACCAGGAAGTTATTAGAATGCTATTTATTATGAGAGCTTGCGAGATCGCCCGGCCAGTCGGCCGTCGAGGAATACTTAACCCTTATATTCTATTAATTGGGTAAAATGAGCATGGAAAAGCTAACCAATCCTACAAGATTGAACGCCGTGGAAGCTTGAAACTATGAAAAAGCAATGGTGAGGGACATAGTGGTATTTATGCATATCACCTTATGCAAAGTGGTACTCCTGGCTTCCTGCGATATCCGCTCTGAGGTATTTCCCTTTAGCATCATAACTATTAGTACTAGTACTAATACTCCTTACTCTGTGCTTGTGCTTCCTGACTCAATGTGCGATAACCGAAACCCCTCCATCGAGGAGAGAATCGGAGATGCTCTTCAATCTGCCATTCACTCTGCGTAGGTGACAATCTTTCCCCTGGAGCAGGGGAGCACCTAAAGGAGATATGCTTTCTCGCGTGGAGAGCCGGGGTTCTTTCCACGTTTCTTCGCGTTAGTCCCAACCTCCACACTACATCGGTTCTCCTCATATCCCTGATTGCCGGAAACCGATACTGCCACCCATGGCCAACCAACAGCAGGGCAAATGATCGATACGACCACAATCTCCAGACGGCGTGACAGAGGTAGAGAGAATGCTCAGAAATTCTCTTCAGGATTGCGACCGATATTTAACACGTCTAGATTCGGTATGTTTTAAACGTGACAGTTAACTCGTCTGAATATGCATTTTGTGGCACAGAACCTCGCAGTCTTTACTGCGTACGAGAACTGAGACTATCAAATGATATTTTAGAAAAGCATCGACGGAAATTCCTGGAGAACATAGGGTGGCTTCGGGCTATTCAGTTACGACTGAGAAGATGGTGAATTTCAGATATTAGACGGCAAGTATGGCAACTGCAAACAAATATATAACTAACTCATTTTTCCCTTGTTTTATTTTTAAATATTTGCAATAGATGAAGAATATCCCAAGAGAAAGGGTATTAATAGGTGAGTATGAAGTATTTCATAAGTTGATATAGCCGAAAGAGCTACCCCAAAATGTATCTAAGTTTTGTGGCTTCAGCAGGAGTAGACATAAACAAGCTAGATCTATGAACAGATGTGTGAAATTTCTAAAACTTGGAGTATAGGAGACCCGTATATTATGGGAGGCTGCCACGTACAGATGACAGGAGCGCGTAGTGGTCGATTTTCCCTTACTTCCTAGGATGGTAGCGGGAGGATGTCCGTCAGAAGGTATCGTCTTTTGCTCCATGAAAGATCAGAGATATGTCCCTTCTCAGAAATCGACTCCTCACCTTTATCACCAGGCCTTTCTCCCTCGTCTTCAATCGAAGCACAGAAATGGAATTGGCGGGTTGTGATCGATGTTCATTTGCTTTGTTGGGAAAAGTGTGGAGAGATGAGAGGGGTTTCTGATCATTCTCATGAGCCCCATCATTTCCGCCGTGCTCCCCCTGTTTCCTCATTCTCCTCACTCGTCTTGATGAAGCTAGCATCTCATCCAGTCAACTACCAGATTTCAACAAAGGGTGTAATTGAATATCCTGCCCATCCGTCACTCGTCACTCGTCACTGATAGCTGTTCACTCTCGCAAATTGTTTGGTCAATGGATTCTCCAGCAGCGTTCAGATCCAGCATGATATCATCCAATGGAGAGCGAGTAATCTGGGAAATGATATAGCGATGACATTGATTTTGATTAAAAGAGAGAGCGGCAGCACAGCTCTGATCACTAGGGAATTGAAACAGAGCGAAGCTCGCGCGGTTTGACGCATGCATACATACACACACACACATACGCTTGGCAAACAGAAATCATTAAGAATGATACTATTTTGTGAAAAGGGGTTCATCGTCTCTTCTGTCTCCCTCTTTGCGACAACAATCTAAGAGCTGAGACTGGGAAACCAATATTTCAATAGGCCCGCGCTCAGGAATTTATGGTCCTTGGCTAATTAATCTTGGGTATTACTACGGGAGTAGTGGAGGAAAGACCTGTCATAGACGTATGGATATTGAATGTGATTACTCACATATACGTTAGACAGACCAGGACGAATTTCTTATAGGGTTTGGGTGTTCTGCAAGGGCGCGCATTGTTCGATGAGTTTTTTCTCCCTGTGCCAACTTGGCTGTGGTCCAGAACATGTCGAAACGTCAAGGACTTGTTCCAGCGGCCAGCGGACGTCTGATTGTGGGTGACGGGTAGCCGACTCCCAGCTAGCACCGGGTATCGAGGAAGGAGAAGCTATTGTGGCTTGTCAGAGATGCTTTTGACGAGGTTGGGGTTATTGAAGTAAGTTACGAGTCCAGGTCGAGCGTGGAGAGCGCTTATGCTTACGATGACGCGCACAAGATCGATAGCTTGTGCAGTATGATTACTACTAGTAGTAGTATTTAGATTAACAATCCTTTATATAGCCCCTATTTCTTTCTCGCTTCCCTTTTTGTTCTATCTATCCAAACTCCGTAGTATGTTGTTGATTGAGAAGGTGTACTAGGAGTTTCTTAGTTCAAGGATTGTTAAGCTACAAATATCAACATGATCACAATCTGATATAGTTCCGGGCATTGCGGTACCAACCTAATTTTGCAGCCAAATTTAGGTACTATTTCCCCAAATCAACCTCGGGTCTCTTGGGAGTTTGTAGATTACAAATGCAAATTGCTAGCGCGTGCAAGTGTGATGATGCAAACTTGATTGAATAAAAATTACTACACCGTAGAGACCAAAGATCTGATTGAGTAATGATGGATTTGATTTGACGGATGGTCAGCCCGCGCTGTTGACCACATTCTCAACCTTGCGGCCCTTCTCCCTTTTCCTCCTTCTTTTTTTGTTATCAGCTTGGATCAAACGGGACAAATTCCCACAGGATCCCAGTAGGGCTCATGGGTGCTGCGGTCTCTTTAGTGGGGCTGACAGAGAAGGTCCTGTCGATGACATCAGTGTAGATTGGGCTCAGCCTTGGAGCAAACACACCATCGTCATACAAAGCCAGAGGCTACTACTACAAGTCTACCACTGTTGAACACAGATTGTTTTCTCGACTCAATAACACACTCAAAGAATCAAAAGCAATCCCAGATATGGATTGGCAATTGGACATACCGCTATCATACTGAATTTCCGGCTGGCCACTCCCTTATGACGTTTTGCAACTCCCCTCACCTGACCTGGCCTGCATGATTCTTGCCAAGACATTGACAATCAAGATTTTACTGCCACCAACACCATCCCAACGATCCTCCGCAGGATCCCGTCTCCTGTCGACTCCATCCTGCTCCTTTCTCCTTTCTCCTTTCTCCTTTCTCCTTACTCCTTGTTCTTCTCCTTTCGCCCTCCGCCTTCTCCCCCTGTTATCCCTATACTGCGTAATCCCCGTCCTTTTGTATCCGCTTGTCGTTGGTTGATATCTTCCACCCAGCCTTTTCCTTCTGCCCAGGTGGCCTGTTCCTCTCACCTTGTTATTTGCCGCTTGGCCACTTAACCAAAATTGCCCCTCCCGGATACTGTCCTATCTATCAGGCCAGCTTACATTCCGTTCCGCTACGTTTCAGATCCGGTGTCGGTTTTTACCCTGACGTGCTTCTTGTTCCTTTCAACTCTCCTCTGCCCCTCTCATTGATTGACAGCTTCACATCAAATGCTGCTAAATCAGCTGTGATTTGCGACCCTTTATAATCCCTCCGTTTTGATGAAACAATGAATCGGTCCGACCGCTCCTTGGAAACTGACGGGCCTGACGTGGCATTCTCTTGATTGTTGTTGTTTTTTTTTTTTTAAGGCGTCCTGCAACAGCCAGCTCCGGGCTCACTTTTGCCCATCATGAGTACTATTCAGAGCCTCAAGAACTTCATCCGCCATGGCAAGCAGGCCCGCGTTGCCACTCCCCATGCGGAACCCACCACAAATGTTTCTGCGATCCACGCAGAACAGCAAAGATCACCACAGGGCAAATATCCTGCGGCCCGCGGCCTGGATGCTTTGGATTCCAAGTTGGGAACTGCAGCTGGCAAAGGTGCAAGGGCCCACGAGTCGGAAATTGAACAGATAATCGCGGAGGAGAGGCGAAGTAGGTCAACGATGCCAAAATACCCGGGACTGGAGAGATGGGATCTGGTCGAGAAAATGGGCGATGGTGCCTTCAGTAATGTATATCGAGCCAGAGATACGACTGGGAAATATGGGGAGGTTGCTATCAAGGTCGTGCGTAAATTCGAGATGAACTCCAAGCAGGTACGCGCCTATCGCTAAGCCAGGGATCATTTCCTTCTTATCTCTTCTCCTCTCCCATTTCTTTTCGATATATACTCTCTCAATTTTCTTCTTCCTTTTCCCCCATTCTCTTTCCCCCATTATATCATATGTTGCAGCGCATGTTGTCGTCCGTATCCCATGCGCCTGGCTTTCTCCGTTATTTCAAAGTTTCCGTCATTATCTCCTTTTTCTTACAGTCGCCAACATCGAAGAGCGGAATTCTAGGGCGAGGCTCATCTTCATCCAAACCTCAAAAAGAAGCAAAAACAGATCGTGGAGGTGAGGTTTTAGTTGACTCCCAAGTTTTCACGTCTTGGGTTCGATTTCTTTGGATCCAAAGTTTTGGATCAATTCTTTATCAAATTTGGTTATCCTAGCACCTTCCCGCCAACGAATCACCCGAACATATCACTGACTCTCTGGCTTGTCATATTTTGTTACGTACAGCGCGCCAACATCCTCAAAGAAGTTCAAATAATGCGCCAAATGGACCATCCCAATATCGTCAAGTTGATTGAGTTCTCCGAGTCGAGGCAGTTTTACTATATTGTCCTTGAACTTTGCCCCGGTGGTGAACTGTTTCACCAAATCGTTCGGTTGACATACTTTAGCGAAGACCTCAGTCGCCATGTTATCATACAGGTCGCGAAGGCAATCGAGTATCTGCATGAACACCGTGGTGTTGTTCACCGGTTTGTATTCACTCCTATATGGTGTCATGCCGGCTCCTGAATGAAGCAACTCCGCTAACAGTCTTTTTTTTTTTTTTCTCCTTGCAGTGACATCAAACCTGAAAATCTCCTTTTCTACCCTATCCCTTTCGTTCCTACTAAAAATCCAAAACAGCGTGCTCCTGGTGACGAAGAAAAAGCCGATGAAGGCGAGTTCATTCCCAATGTTGGAGGGGGTGGTATTGGTGTGATCAAAGTGGCCGACTTCGGTCTCTCCAAGGTAATATGGGATAATGAAACTATGACGCCATGTGGTACAGTTGGCTACACCGCCCCTGAAATCGTCAAGGACGAACGATATTCCAAAAGCGTTGACATGTGGGCTCTAGGCTGCGTCCTCTACACACTATTATGCGGCTTCCCGCCTTTCTATGACGAGAGTATCCAAGTCCTGACTCAGAAAGTCGCTCGGGGTCAATATACATTCCTCTCCCCTTGGTGGGACGACATCTCCAAACCTGCTCAAGACCTGGTGTCCCACTTGCTAACCGTCGACCCGGAAAAACGCTTCACCATCAAGGAGTTCCTGCAACACCCGTGGATCAAACAGACCAACGAAGAAACCCACGCTGCGGCCGATGCACCACCGCTCGCAACCGCAGCCGCACTCCCCTCGCAATTCCTAGAAACTCCTATCGCAGCCATGGATCGCAAAATGGACTTCCGATCTCCGGGTGCCATTAATCTCCGCGAAGTCTTTGACGTTGGCTACGCTGTCCATCGCCAAGAAGAAGAGGGCAAACGACGCAAGAATTTAAAACATGGCTTCCGTGCTGGCTTGCGTAGCGCACTCAACCCACTCAATGAAGACTATGACGATAACGTTAATAGCGATGATGACGACGTTCTCGAGGGAATAATCCATAACGATCAAGACAAAAATGTTGCGAATCCGGCAAAGGTGGTGCCGCGGACGGGACACAACCCGGCAGAAGTAGCCGCCATGGGGGCGAAGTTACAATCCACGAATCTGAATACAACTACTACTACGCAGCCTAGTGCGGCAGCGCAGGCGAGGCTGAGAGAGAAACAACAGCAGCAGCAGAGAAAAACGCAGCGACAACACGGGGGTGGTGGTTATGGTACGCATAGTGCCGCTGTTGCGGCTGCAGCGAGGGAGAGTGCAGCGCGATCGGCAATGCAACCATTTGAGCTTAGTTTAGACAATGCGACGTTGTTGGGGAGGAGGGGCAGGCGGCTGCAAGGGCAGGAGGTTGTTTGATGAGAATATTTTGATTTTTGTTCGTTTCCCTTTTGAGTCTGTGTTGGGGTATATGTGTGTTGATGTTGGATGTTTTAACGTGCGTTGTTTATAGATCTGGCTGGATCTTGGTCCTTAAATTTCTTTCTCTTTCCCGCTCTCTTGTCCATTTTCTTCGCCCCTCCATTCTTTTACTACTGTTTTCGATGTTGATTTTTTTTTTTTTTGTGACGGGTCCTCCATTTAATCCATCCCTGTCTTTTATATATACTATTTATGCGCCATGGTTGGTTTGTTTCCTTTCTCGTTGCTTTCTCACTGTTTTTTCTCAACACTCCTATTCTTGTGTTTATTCGCCTCGCTTTTTGCATATCTATATATCGTGATATATTTTATTATAATATATATATATATAACTGATGGCTTTACCCCTCAGGGTGAGAGCAGGGACAAAATAAAATAAAATAAAACAACATTACACAAGTGACGAAAGTGACAAGCAAAAAGTGTGAGACAACCACGTGTCTCGTGTAACGCTCTTACCCTATATAAAATGGTCCGCTTAGCTAGCAATTAACTAATCAATCAAGCTCTTCACCTCTCACAAAAAGCGCAAGAAGCAAGTAGCAAAATAAATTCATATGTAGTTACAGTACATCAAATTTTGTCCTTCCGTCTTCTGTCGTCTGTCTTCTATCTTCCGTCTTCTTCTTCTTCTTCTTCGTCTTCGTCTTCGTCTTCTTACTGATACTATTGCTATCTATCTTTTGATCCAATTTTGCCTTGTATATATATATATATATATATAGGAAACGCAAACGCATGCCACTTGTTCCAAAAAAATTAATTGCAGGTATCAGGAGGACGTGGCGTAGTAGGATGATGTGGAGGACAATGAAATGATATTTCCATCCATCCACCCATCCACCCATCAAAATCTGTTCAATGAGAAACTTGGGAACTTGGGGGGTATCTCCTATATATCCTATATGTCCTAGTATATAGAGATAGATAGATATATATAGATGAATAGATGAATAAGATAAATAGATAGCTAGTTTAGATCAAACGAAGGGGAAGATGTATATCCATCCATGTGGATACAATAAGGGCAGTTGAAAAAATAGATAAATAAAACAGGCGCACCACACACCACCCGTCCTTTTCCTCTCTCCATTCGTCGTCGTGGGAAAGAAAAGGGCGATTGGGGATGGGATGGAGCCTCAAGGAAGAAAAAATCATACCAGTATCGCCCGCCACCCAACAACATATTCCCTCCCCCTCTTTTTTTCCGCCTACAAACTCGCCCGCCCCCGCGTCTCAATAGGCAATAGCACCATCGCCACAAACGCCGCCAGCATAAGCCCGCCAGACGCATAGACCGGGGCCTTGGGATTCGCGCTGCCGCCGTAGATGGCAACGATGGGCGCCAGCAGGCCGCAGATGCGGTTCAGGCAGCTCGCGATGCCCGTGCCGGTGCCGCGGTTGGGCGCGGGGAACACCTCGGGCGTGTACGCGTACAGCACGCCGTACATGATGTTCTGGAAGAAGGCCTCCAGGGATGAGCAGGCGAGCTGGACGTCCGGGTCGGTGGAGATGGTGAAGCAGAAGAGCGTCACGACAGTGAGCGCGGTGGAGATGGCCATGGTGCCCTTGCGGCCGATGTAGGGGATATCGACGGTGTAGCAGGCCAGGATGGAGCCTGGGACGCCGACGACGGCGGTTATGGCGTAGTTGCGGTAGACTGTTTGTTGAGGATTTTTATTTTTTTTTGTTATTATTTGGTGAGTTGGTTGGGTTGAATGAAGTTTTTTTTTCTCTCTCTCTCTCTCTCTCTCTCTTTCTTTGTACAATCTCTATTCACTCAAGCAGAAGCTGAAGGTAAGGCTGGCTTTGATACTTTGGACATACCAATCGAGACGGGTGTTTCTCCGTTATTCCCCAGGTATTGGGGCAGGAAAGCATTGAAAAGGGGGTATCCCATGCCAATGGTGGCCCAGCAGATCCAAAGAAGAACAGCTAGGGAATGAATCAGTTTAAGATTACTATGTTTCACCTTCTCCTCCTTCATTCATCACCATCAACAACATCATAAATAAACAGGCGCAACATACTCGTAAACCCAAGCTTCTTGGTCGCAAAAAGCGGTGCAATACGCTGGCCAGAAAACTTTGCGAGCTGCCGCTTGATAACCTCCGCACTCGACAGCTTCTGCTCCTCAGCGGGGATTTCCTCAGGGTAGCCGCCAATCTCGTTCAAGATCTCAGAAGTCAGCCAGGTGTTGGCTCCGTTCTTGTACGCTATAGCATGGACCGTGGCTACGGCATCGGCCTGGCGGCCCCGGGAGAGCAGGAACTTGGGCGACTCGTAGAGATGGAACAGGAAGAATCGGCATAGGAACATGACGAATGTCAGCCCGCCCAGCGTGATGACTAGATATCGCCATCCCATGTTGTTTTCCTTCGTGCAAAGTACCGCGGATGGGTCGCAGGAGAAATTTGGGATGAGGCCCCAGGCGATCATGCTGGGATGGACCGTTGTTAGCTGCTACCCAAGGGAAATTCGGGGAAATGGGGTGTGTAGGGCGTGCCCAGTGGTGAGGCGGAGGAGGAGGAGGAGAATAGGAAAGAGGAAAATCTCTCTATATACAGACTAGTATATATATATACCTTCCAACAAGGGTCCCAACGGGCCACCAGATACTCAACATCGTCAGAAGATTTCCTGACGCAAAGGGCAGGAATTCCAAAAACAGCGCGCCATCGACTGGAAGATTACCGCCGACTCCCAAGCCCAGGCATGCGAACAAAGAACAGACCCTAGCGAAAAAGGCAATATGTAAGCTTTCATCACAAAAGCACCGTGCCATTGTATACAGCGCTCGATAGCCCACGAGGCAGTCTCTCATTCATCAACTTACCCAACCCAAGTTGGGCTGCCACCCGCAGCAAGCCCAAAAACGCCAGTGATGAGAAGGGTCAGGTTGAAGGCGAGACGGCGACCGATCATATCCGACGCAGTGCCCCAGAACACGGCGCCGACACACAGGCCAACAAACAGAGAGCAAGTGGTGAAGCGGACGTATGAAGCGTCAATGTCAAATTCCACCGAGAGACTAGGCAAGGTCAAAGCAACACCCTGCAACAAAAGGTTGGGCAGTCAGCTACCTGGATGGATATCTTTAATCCCCTGAAAATATACGCACCTGTAACCAGAGGCTGCAATGCAACACAGGCAAAAGATAAGCAAGGGGTGAGCAGTCATTTCAGGTTTTTATTTATTTTTTTTTTTTAAAAAAAAAAAAAAAAAAAAAAAAAAAAGGAGCGTAGAATATAAAAGAATCAAAGTCTCAACGTAGCGAGAGAACAGACTTACTTATCCGCCAGCCAACCAAACCCACAGAGCACAAACAGCTGCCATTGATACTTCCCCATCCCAATATCCTGGATGGCCAAGTTGATGACTTTCGATTTCCCTAAAAAAAAAAAAGAAAAATAAACCAAGTGAATGTGTGTAGAAAAAAAAGAGATCCGTTCATCACCCAAAATCCAAAACCTCTCAACGGTACGTATATATATGTAACGTTTTCTTTCCTTCTCTCTGTCTCTCTCTTGAAAAAAAGGTAAAAAAAAAAAAAAAAAAAACATCAATCATCACTCAAACACATACGGTCATATGCAGTATCCCTGCCCGACGTCGCTGCATCGCTCTCCACCTCCGCCCTGATGGCCTCCACGGTCCACCCGGAGTACTGCCGGTCACTCAGGGAAGACGATGAGCCCTTCTCTGCCACATTGTCCGCCTTGTCGCCGTCTCCAGGGTTGGGGTTGGAGTGGGAGAATTTCCGGTGGCGCGGGGCCTGCGCCAGGGGCACCACGACGCCAGGGAAGGACGAGTGGTCCTGTTGCCTGAAGGGATTCACGAGGAGGGGCATGGTGCTTGATGGTGGTTATTGTTATCTTCTATCTGTTCTCTTCTTGTCTGGTTACGGTGGATGTATGGAATGAGAGAGTTGTGGCTATGGGGAGGGGGAGCGACGTTGTGTGGCTACCAGAGGCACACAAAGGCGCGTTCGGGGATTCCTGTGGTTCTCTCTCTCCTCTCTCCTCTCTCCTCTCTCCTCTCTCCTCTCTCCTCTGGCTCACTCTGGCCCTCTCTGGCTCACTCTGGCTCACTCTGGTTGGCGGGGGAAGAGATGTCCTGCTGTGTGTGGTGGTTGCACAGGGCTGGAGATGTCAAGGCATGTGCGCGGTTCTTGGTGGGAAGGGAAATATAGAGAGGACCGTTGCTTTGGGCAGGACAGACCACACGGTGAATCAGGCAATCACCAAATAATCACCCAGATTGCTGCTTTGGGGGGGTGTTTGTCAATTGACGGAGAACAAAGGGTATACGCGGTCGCGGATAATATATATATACATCCATGGATATATAAAAATGTACACCTGATCGGATTGAAGCCCAAGGGTGTATATTATACGAGCCGACGGGTGAGTTCATTACCCGCATACGCCGGAAGACGAGCAGCGGGCCCGGATGTGTGGGTTACATATATTATGATAGTATACAGTATATAAAATGGGCGACATGGGGCAGCAGATTGGTGGATCTCTCGTGGATCGTCGCAAGGGGAACAGCGACGATTCATGGATGCTACCTCGGCATGGACCCTCGGCATGGACCCTCTCCTCCCGTGTGAAAAGTCCCAAAAATGAGGAATCAGAAGGAAATCAAAAGCAGTCACAAGCTGTCAACAAAGGTTCTTCTAGTCCGGATAGACCCTAGCGTCCCCGGGCCTGGTGACACCCGACTGCAGCCATTGGCCAGTTCCCGGGCTCCAGGGACCCATCCGTATCCATGGTTCTCCATTGGCCTGAGCCCATTCTGGAGGAGGCGCGCCCAGCTCAAAACTTTTTTCGTCATGCAAAGCAGGAACGTGCCCCCCGCTGCCACCCGTTGGCGTGTTAGAAATGCTTCTCCGGGTAAGAACAATGTTTTCCAAAATATTTTATTACTAGGAGTGTGTTCTATAGGGGGGATACAAAAGCCATTCCCTTTAAAAACATCCCCCCCCCCCCCCCCCCCCCCCCGGTTGAAATTTGAAACAATCGGTTCACATCACACGAGTCTCGTTCGAGTTTGGTTTGACTGAGACCTGCCTCCCCCAAACCCAGCCGAGGAAGATGGCAAAAAAGGGATGGAGAACTGGTGGGTTGGTGGGTCGAGTGCAGGAAAGTGGGGAAGGGGGAAGGGGAAGGGACGGGCATCTTGCATGAGTTGGAAAGTTCAGTACAGAGCTTCACGCCAGCCCCCCGTTTTCACATGGTCAATACACACAGCAATTGAAGAGAGAATCGGCTCATCGATGCAGCAGCCGCCAACTGCGAAGGGAGAAGTAGAAATTGGCCGATGGACAGCGTGAGGGATGCTGGTATATATATATATATATATATATATTTATATAAAATATATATATATATATCTTCCCGTGTATTCTGCGCCAGGACGGAATCCGTTTATTGGATTTTCCGTTGGACAACCACCAACGACTCGAACTAGTAACGAGAGACTCGCTATCACGATATATGGAAAGCGAGGTTGGGATAACGCAGGAATGGTAAGCCACGGGCATTTGCATCAAACATAAAAACAGCGCTGGAGAACCACCTGCCTAGCAGCACTAGCACTAAGCATGGACGATGAAATCTACTATGTACAGTACATCCAGATCTCATCGGTACTTGGGTGATTTATACAGCGAGAGGCTGTGGCCAACCCGCTGATGATCAGAGGTACTAGTAATAAACGAGGAAAGATATACCGAAGGGGAGGCGCTGTCGTTTGGTTAGTCAATTGGATTAATCAACTAGTACGGAGTACGGAGTACGAGGATTTCATTTACTATTCATCCGTCTTACATCGCCAACGGATCAGCCAGTGAGGAGTTTGGCGGATGATGCTGAGCAATGCAGTGCGCGCAATGATGCTTGTGAGGATACATATAGGTCAGATGAGGAACTGCAATGGTGGTAGATATATCGGGATCGCTGGAAGAAGAAGAAGAAGAAGAAGAAAAAGAAGAATGCTAACCATCCCAATCCCTCGTTCCATTACACTCCACCGACTTAGCCAGCTAGCTAGCTACATGTGTCAGCAAGCCTTTTCCGAACCCCAGGAGGTATGGAAGAAGTGTCTCCGTATATACGTACAGGGTGGGCGTCGAGGCCGCCGTCCGAGCAGCTGGGTTATCAACACGGTTGCGCTTGGGGGTTGGCGCTCGGGGTAAAAATCCTTATATAGAAAGGAGAGACGGAGAAAGGGGGAAGATTTTACGTACGGCGGGAGACTTACTCCGTAGAAATGGTTGAGTGGTTGAGAATACTATGGATCCCTCCATTAAGGGAGCCGTGTACTCTTTGATCCCGAGAGAAAGAAGAATATATTATCTATCTATATAACTAGTGGATATGGGATCTCTCTCTTTCCCGGTGAGAGGTAAGTAAGTACCTGTAAGCCGGATGGATTCATATCACCACCCCCCCCCCCCTCTTCCACATCCTCCCAAACATAAGTTTTTTTGTATGTATTTGCATGTCGTCCAGCCCTCCATATATAGCGCTCAGAAGGATCTTGTCGGTATTTTGTTCTTCTTCTCCTTCTTCTCTTAAAAAGCTATGGAGCTGTAACTAATAACCTAATATGCATCCTGTCTCGAATGGAATGCAATTACATTAAAATAAGCAGTTAACTGGCTACTGCCGCTGGTTACTGCTCCTGTTACTACTTATACAAAAGCAGCTCACTCGAACTTCTCCCTCCACAGATACATTCATGATTCAACTTTGGAAAAGCATTATTGTTGTTGTTGTTATTATTATTATTATTATTATTATTATTATTAATTTACATCTCTTTTGCTGCCAGAAGAAAAGCTTGAAGCTGATGCTGATTGTAAGTGATTAAGGAAGAAGAAGAAGAAGAACACCCTGGAAATGGTCCCCCTCGCGTAAAATCCCACCAACCCACGAAAGAACAGAGCTCAGATAAATAGTACACAGCACCTGAGCCACCTTTGCAACATTGCAACATCATGGTGCATGATGGGGTGTATACTGGAGCCATTGGATATCTTACCACAAGGATGACCAACAGGTCAGCAAACAGAGTGAGCTTCAGGAACCTGCTGTGCACGAGTATGCTTCATGAACAAGTAAATAATGTAGTAGCCGCCATTTAGAAGGGGCGGGAGCTAGACCACTCGAAAATGCCATGGCTGGCATCTCCAGCTGTGTCATTAGTTAATTAACATATGGGGGGGGGGGAAATATAGAATAATACTTCGGTTTCTGGTATCGAGTCCCCCGTCCGTGTTTTCCATTGGATCCATAACTCGCGCATCCCAACTCTGTTAGACGTCAAAAACATTTCCATCATAAATAAAGATGGGCGATCGCGGTTTAAAACCAAAGTTTGATTCATCTAGCTGCAAGTAGTTAACCTTCTCAGAAGGAATGAATACCCTGTCTTACCCAAGCAGCTGGGTAGATATATATGTTGGACATAAGGTATATCCTACTCTCCGGAAACAACAACGTTAAACCTACCAAGACAACATCATCCCCGCTGCGCTGATAGTTTGGCAATAGATATCGGAAATGTTTCTCCCTCTTTCTGCAATTCATATACCATCCCTTTGCTTGCAATATTCGACTGGCCAGGAACAGAAGTTCCTTCCTCGTAAGTAAACGAGTCATGCGCTCCTGGTCTGGCGTTACAAAGCGTTATGTCGTGTGAAAGGGAATTATAGGAGCAATATCCGGCGGCAAGATAGCAGGGGGCTCCGCCGTTTTTTTTTTTTTTTTTTTTTTCCCGCGATATGGTTTTGATGCCCTGGTCCTGCCTCACTTGAGGTTCTTTTGGGGGGCATTGCCCCTCGTTCCCAGGAAACTGATTGTATATAATATATGTTTCCCGCCTGGCCGTCTTTATATCTATCGAAATCACCATCCAAACATTGCCGTGAGATTCATTCAGCCGCCATCCCATGTCCCATGTGGCTTTTTCACGGGTCTCGGGGGACGATGCCCTCTTCCAGAGAAACCACCGGCCCGGCCTGGGACCGCCCGGGAGGGAGCAAGGAACGAGTGATCAGCTTGCTCTTGCCGACTACCGGGTTTTCACATCTGTAGCGCCATAGGGGTCCAGGATGAGGAGGAATTGCATCCAACGCGCCTTCTCTGCCAGAAGCTTGTTCAACAGTAGCGGCAGCGATTCCTTGGGGGAGCGGTGGGTATGGTTAATATCGATACCTGATGAGTAAATGTAGTAATCTGTCCTTCCCGGGATAGATTCATGTTATGTCGACTGCTTCCACAAAGGGATATCCATTGCAATCGATGAAGCAATCCTGTGCATCTGCCTCACTAACAACTCTCTCCAAGTCTGCAAACCCGGAATGGTAGTATTCACTCTTGGAAGGTTTACATGTTCACTCCTGCATCGTATAAGCTTCCTGAGGCGTTACCGCGGGAGAAGGTTCGGGTGCCGTGATTACTGTTAAACTGCTGCTTCGGTCTTTGAGACTTGTCGGCTACACAGCAACTATAACTGAGTAGTCATCATCTTGCCTATATTGTTAGAGCGGACAGATTAAGAAAGAAGTTTACTCTTCAAAAATTGAGAAGACAGACGTTTTAAATTTCACGATGACATGAGATACTGCATCGTTGACCACGTACTTGATCACCACATGAAAATTGCGACACTGTACCTGTCAGATTAAACATGCTGAATCATCGTATGCATATCTCAAAGTGGGTTGGCCCACTCTCGGGATTGATCCTTTGGTGTGGTGGTGAACGCCCGTTGTGAGGGGCTGAGATAACAATTCCTGCAAAAGTCAATTCTTCGTGAAAAAGTAAACGAGCCACCAATCTGGATCCACAGCCAGTCGGAGTGCGGGAAAGAAAAGGAAATAAAAAGCACGCTTAACGCCTTGCATTAATAATACGCAGAGATGGAGGTTCCTGGCCAACCCCATTTTTGTCCGGGAAATACTTCGGCTGCAGAGGCGTGGGCCCATAAACGGCTTTGAGTGGGAGCGATGGCGATTCTCCACACCGGAGTCAATATCGGTTTTGCAAAGGAACGTTGAATTTTGCTCGGTTCCCTTCGGCAAGCAAGCGCAAAGGAAAGGAAGCCAGGATGTTAGGGCTGGTCCTAGCGCCCTTTCTATTTCTCCTCTTTCCGAATCCCGAGGGCGAAAAAGAGCCAAAAAAAAAAATAAAATAAAATAAAATAAAATAAAATAAAAAATAAGAGAGAGAGAGAGAGAGAGAGAGAGAGAGAAGGGCAGAAGCAGGATAATTCGCAGTTCTCGACCATAGCTTATTCTTACGAATGATTACGAGCGACTTAGTTTTAGCCCACAATGTCGTAACTAGATTCATTGGAGCGGACGACGATATTGACAGCAAACGGACAAGGGAAAAGGGACAAGTTTACGTTTCAGAATAGAAAACGGTTGTGGGAAAACAGGCTGGGTGGTTTCGGTATTTCCCTTGTCCATGAAAACAATTCCTGAAGCCCCTCGTGCTGATGGGGGATTCAACGAGCATAATAATAGCGACCAAGCGCATTCTCAGGATGGACAACAGGGGCCATCACCCGCTCACCCGGAGGGCTCAGCAACATCTGGCGAGCAACAGATATGCGACGTTGAAACGAACGAAATATCGAGAGGAGAATGGAATAACGGCAAGGGGTTAATTGAGGCCGAAAATGTTCTGTGGGGCGCAGGAGCCATCGATGACGACGACAACGACAACAAAAACAACAATGATAATAATATCGTAAATGTCGAAAAGCACCCAAACAGGATATCAGATTCATCCCATCCCCCAGAGAACAGCAACACCCCAGAGCCCCAGCTGCCTGAACCGGACGGCTTGTCGAGAGATCTTGAAGGGAATATATACCCCGAAGGTGGCGTACAGGCGTATCTTGTCGTTTTTGGATCGTTCATGGCTCTCTTCGGCACCCTTGGCCTTGCCAATTCGTTAGGATCATTTCTAGCATGGATAAGTACGCATCAGCTCAAGGACTATAGCCAGCGTAGCATCAGCTGGATCTTCGGCATCTATGCCTTCCTCATGTTCTTTGGTGGTCTTCAAATCGGCCCAATCTTCGATGCCAAAGGTCCTCGATTCCTCGTGCTTGCGGGCGCCGTTATGGTCACGCTCAGTATCGCCCTTATCGGGCTCTGCGAGGAATATTGGCATTTCATGGTTGTCTGGGGGATCGTTGGCGGAATTTCCGTGTCTTTGGTCTTCACTCCGGCTGTGGCAAGCCCAGGCCATTTCTTCTATCGTTTGAGGGGCAGGGCAACTGGGATTGCTGCGACGGGGGGGAGCGTTGGCGGCATAGTATTCCCATTAATGCTGCAGGATCTGTTGCCCAAAGTGGGATTTGGATGGGCAACTCGCGCTGTGGCTTTGGTTACGCTTGTCTCGTTAATGATGGGATGCATATTGATCAAATCGAGATTGCCCAAGAAAAAGGCAACGAGGAAAAATATCCTTCCTGATTTCCGCATCTTATGGGAGCCGCAATTTGCATTGACGACACTTGGGGTATTTTTTATAGAATGGGGGCTTTTCATTCCCATCACGTACATCTCCGCATATGCTCTTGCGCATGGCATGTCGGAAAAGTTCTCCCACCAGGTGCTCGCGATCCTTAACGTAGGATCCTGTTTTGGGAGATGGATCCCAGGATTCACTGCAGATTATATGGGGAGATTCAATACCATGATCATGACAGTGGCGATTTGCTTCTTATCCTGCGCATGCTTGTGGTTGCCCGCCGGCCATAGCGTTGCAATGTTAGTGGTATACGCCTTGGTTTTTGGATTCGGAAGTGGGAGCAATATCAGCTTAACACCTGTCTGCATCGGCCAATGCTGCAAGACTGAGAATTATGGACGGTATTACGCAACATCTTATACGGTTGTTAGTCTTGGGTATGTAACCCTGGAGGTTTTTTGATGTCATGCAAATCCACGGGTCATTGTCGCTGCTCACAAAACTTCTCCTTGCAGCACCTTGACTGGCACTCCAATCGCAGGCTTGATTCTGACCAGCAATGGCGGAAATTACTGGGGCCTCATTACGTTTACCACCGTCTGCTATTTCGCGGGGTTAGTTTGTTTTATCGCCGCGAAAGCTGTTCGACATGGACGAAATCTATGGGTGATTTACTAAATCGGAAGTAAGTGTGATTGGCAAGTGATTAGAATGCCAAGATATATTGAGCACGAACCATGACCTCAAAGGTTAATGTGAACACACACACACACACACACACACACACACACACATATCACACAATTCGTATGTGTCTAATAATAGTACACTCACATGGAAAGTTGTGGTCACCCAAAGCAGGGGAAAACCGAATGGCGGGAGTCTGCTGGGATGACAGTCACATCATCATCCACAGACCAGCCCAGGACTTGGCCGCTCTAAGTCTTGTTCACATGTGGCCGGTTGCCTGCGGCTAGCCTCACAACAGACGTGGCAGTCAACGCAGGAATCACATCGTAACTTTGTTGGCGAGGATTTAAAAAAACAAAGAAAAGGCCGGGCGGGGTATATCCTTTGAGCGAGGGACTGAGACATGTTTAGTTCTAGCCCATTCATTGTATGCAACTAGATAGCTTCCAGAGGTTCGCAGATGTCGGCGCTTGACAAGTCGCTTGACAAGTCACCAGCCCTTAAAACAAGAATTAGATAGCTTGAATGGCGCGGGGGGTGTGAAGAAAACTTTTTTTTTCTTTTTTTTTTTCTTTTCTTTTCTTTTTTTTTTTTTTTGGTCGTAGAAAATGTCTAAAATGCTTCTCCTCGCCCCCGTGGCTGGCAGGTGAGAACGTTGAAAAATATGTCTCAGTATACCAAGATTGGTCAGGTCCAGTACAGTCCATTTCTCAGGTGAAAATGATTGAGTCACCCAGTGCACCATGAGGTTAAGGTGTGAAAATTTATTTTTCAAGTAGATGATGGATGGGTGGGGTGGCATGGCAAGTTTTTAAGTCCCGCTATAATTGTATAGTAGTGATGATTAAATTTTCAACGAACCTTGGAAAACCAATCGGGCTAATATCATCGGAAAGTTTCATCCCAGTAAAAAAAAGAGAGAAAAAAGAAAAGAAAGAGGGAGAAAAAAAAAAGGTGGACGTACAGGTTAGGCGGGGGAATAACCGACAAAAAATGGCGGATATATCAAAAATTCGTTCATGCAACAATTTTCTCGGATCAGAGCTAGGTAGCCGATGGGGATTGGAAAAGAGACCAAACCTTGAATCCTGTCAATAGCGCCAGCTGATATCCAGGCCAGACTGTTTGTTCCCTCTCAAAACAAGAGTCCCGAGCAAAGGACCCGGTATCCTCGTATACAAACCTTGGATGTTTCCTCTGCTAGCGCCGTAGTTCAAAATCAAAGGATATGGGGACAGTCGTTTGGGTTTCGTTGCTGGAGAAGTGATGATGTTGAGAGGGCATCAGTATCACTGTCGGAGCTGAAGCGTGGGTTAAGTCACTGGGGGTAACAGTTCTATCCTCGGCTGCAACAATGTAATGATATAGCCGTTGAGCACAACATCGCTGGACCCTTGACCCTTGACCTTTAGTCCTTTAGTCTTTGACAGAAGAAAATCGTCGAGAAGCTCAGCTCGTTGTGAGTTTGTCAAGTCTCCACAGCCTCTTGAAGCCATGAGTGGCTATGATGCAACCTGTGGCGTTTTCCTAGCCTGAAACCGGGCCAATGGTGACGACGGGTATCTGATCTGGACATCGCCAAGTGCATCTCTAGGGCCGCGAAATGCACGCAGCATCAAGCCATCGAGCAACGAGATGGTGCCGTGTCAGTGACATCAGATGCAAGCCCTAACTGGGTGGGCTTTTACCCGAGAACGGTTAGGCGAGATGTGTTTATTACATGTCTATTTTTAACCGATACGACTAGTAATTCCGCCCGGCGTCGTTTGTATGCGGCTCGGCTGGCCATTACGCCGTATTGACGGCATTCTTGACCGCTTTAGTCATCCAGGTCTAAGTTGTGAGACTTTTTTGATATCAACAACCTCCACCTCAATACGAATTGCGCTCTTGGGACACGATCAGTCCAGACAACTTTGGTCATGGAACCATCCATGATTCTTGTATCCACTTGGTGGGCTGGGCAACAGCCATGCGCCACTTGCAGGTCCGCTTTGTGGCCACATCAGCTGGCAGCCCCGTCATCATTGGGCGTGCTGATGGAGAAGAAACATCCTTCAATACCCAGGCCTCGTTCCCTTGATGGGGCTCTCTAAGACCAGGATCAGCCGGGAATGCGAGCGCAGTTCCCTGTCGCTTTAGCGGCTTGGGCGCTTTTGAGAGCCATAGGGCCAGGATCTTGGGCATGATGATATCTCCCATTTCAACGGGTATAAATATTCAAAAGGGAGCGGTGTTCCCCTTTCTTCAAGTTCCAGTCAACGCCCTCGTTGCCTACACTCGTTTGAAGAACTGTATCCTCTCAAGAGAAGATATTTTATTTGTTCCCCTGAACAAATCCACTCGCTTTCAGTGAATAGCTGTCTGCCTGTCGCTATAGTGCCTTCGGGCCCTTCTCGGTTCTAATTTTATTTGATTCTCCTCACCATATTTCTGTGCCAGGAGTGCTCAGGTTCTCGTCATGAAGGTGTCCGCAGCGCTTTTCGTGGCGGCCCTCGCCGAATCTGCGTTCGCGCTTCCGGGGAGGTATCCTCCTCCCCCTTCCTACCCGGTGTCTGAACCGCCAGCGTCGACGGACTATCCAATTCCGCCATCGGTCACAGACTCCTATCCGGTTGCTCCTCCCTCTTACTCTGAGCCGCCCGTTGTGACCGACTCTTACCCAGTCCCGCCTCCCAGTGTTACGGATTCTTATCCAGTTTCCCCGCCCTCATACTCTGTCCCGCCGTCGTACTCAGTACCTCCTTCAGTGACGGACTCGTACCCGGTTTCTCCTTCTGTGACTGATTCATATTCAGTCCCGCCATCGTATTCAGTACCTCCTTCAGTGACGGACTCGTACCCGGTTTCTCCTTCTGTGACTGATTCATACTCAGTCCCGCCATCGTACTCAGTACCTCCTTCAGTGACGGACTCGTACCCGGTTTCTCCTTCTGTGACTGATTCATACTCAGTCCCGCCATCGTACTCAGTACCTCCTTCAGTGACGGACTCGTACCCGGTTTCTCCTTCTGTGACTGATTCATATTCAGTCCCGCCATCGTACTCAGTACCTCCTTCAGTGACGGACTCGTACCCGGTTTCTCCTTCTGTGACTGATTCATACTCAGTCCCGCCATCGTACTCAGTACCTCCTTTCAGTGACGGACTCGTACCCGGATTCTCCTTCTGTGACTGA